TTATGGGAGGCAAAATGCAACACCCACCCTTAATCCCCGGGTCTGTCAGAGGAAGGGTACACACCCCTCCCACAAAGTCAAGCCATTCAAGACCCGCAGGTGCCACGCCAGAATTCACACATGAAGCTTGCGTGGATGTTGGGGACAGGAAGTTTGGGAAAAACTGGGACTGAGGCAGGTGAGCCAGACGCTGGCCACTCCCCCTTCTGCGCCTTCCAAGGGTCACCCGTCAGCCCCCTGGGAAACCCAGCTCTTGCAGTAGGCTCTGATAGCGACGGCCTCCTCAGCCCACCAGAGCTGGGCTTGCGGGTTTTGGACTAGAAAAATTGCCACACAGCTGGCACTTCCTGTCTGCAAATTCCATTTGTGAATTTTCCTTCTCATTAGAACGCATGACACCAGAACAATGCCCCAGTGGTTCACTGTCATTTGCAGTCATGGACAAAGGTACCCAAAGACGCATAGGCTTCCCCGAGGCCAAACAGCGCAGCTTTATGGTTGCAGCTCTCGGGCCTTCTCCGAGGGCCCTTTCGCTGGTCCATATACAGCCCACGTTTTGGAAGGAGTTTTTGCTGGTGTCGCTGTTTCAGATGCTCCCTGTTGACAGCACCAGCTCCTGCCTGGTGGTTGCAGGTCTGTGAAGCCGCCGATGCTCCTCAGAGCATGGACACCTTCAGCACCCACTCGGGACGCGTCCCGTCTGGCACTGGTCAGAGTGGCCCTGCGCGCTCGATGCTGAGTGGCAAGCACCGAGAGACTTTAAACAGAATCGCGCGCCAAACAGCCTCGGGCACTGGTCGGATGACAGCGACCTCGGATGCGAGGTCCCTGGAGCCTGAGCGGCGCCCTCAGGCCCAGCCCGGCGGTTGTGCACACCCGGGCCGCAGGCTCGGTCGGGCGCCCGCAGGTGGCGCGGGCGAGCTGCGCGGCGGGCCTGTTCCTGGGCCCGCGAGGTAACCGGAGAGGCAGCCCGGTCCCTCCCCGCGCCCGGTAGCCGCGCCCTGAGCCCTGCGCCCTGCGCCGAGCGCCGGAGCGGAGCCGGTGACGTCCGGACCCGCGCGGACCATGGAGACGCAGGCCCGAGGTAAGCGCGCGGGGTCGCGCAAGGCTGTTCCCGCATCCGCGAACTTCGCCCCGGACGGACTCGCCAAGCGGGTGCGCGTGGGTGGGTGGGGACAGCGGCCCAGGACCTGTTGTGCGGCCCGGATCCGAGTCGGTGCCGTCCGGTTTGGCCGGGACCCGCGGGACACAGGTATGCGTGGCGCGGCTTCCCGCGATCGGCGAACCCCCACAGCCTCCCACGAGGTGGCTTCGCGTCTTGGGGGTCACACTTGGACCAGAGTGAGGTAACTCTAAGAAGACCTTTAAAATGAGAGGAAATAGACCCCGATATCTCGGGGCTCACGTGAAGCGAGAACCCGGGGTCCCCGAGGCCAACTGGGGAGCTGCGCCCAGAGGAGTGGGGCAAGGGTTCAGCCCTTATGGCTTGAGCCCACGGCGGTCCTCACGGTAGAAACCCAAACGGTCTTGGATCCAAGCGCAGAGCTGGGCATAGCCTGGGGAGG